CTCTCTCTTCTACAAATATTTTCATGGCAACTGTTCTGACAAGCTACTTTCACTGGTTCCTGGACTTCATGAATTTAAACATGCTACGAGGCTGGCATCTCGGGCTCACCCTTTCAGTGTCAAAATGGTTAAATGTAACTGTCTCTTCTTCTCAAACAGCTTCTTCTCCTGCACTTCCTGTCTGTGGAACTCCCTTCCCCTTACTTGCTTCCCCAATGACTATAATCTTCAAATATTCAAATGTAATGTCAATTGACATCTGAAACCCTGAGCTTGTTCCCTGTCCTCCTCTGTATCCCTTCCTCAAACATGCCTCTTTATTCTTGTTCTCAATCCTCTGTAACCCCTTGCATGCTAGTGGCACTCCTGCCTTGCTTGGGGGTGAATTGCCTTAACAAAAAAAAAAAAACTTCACTTCTTGCCTTTGCTAACATTAATACAACACTACATCATAACCCTCTACCTTGACCATCCTGGGTATGATGATAAACTACATCCGCGTTATGGGTAAGATGATAAATTACGTCCAACAGCAAGGCCTCTGATCAGGGGGTTTTGAGGAGTGTAGAACCACTTCTTAATTGCTTGTGTTTCCAGGTCCACCCTGACATGGGGTGGTAGCACCTGTTAGGGTCCCAGCTATGGGCAAATAGTTAACATCCAAACTGAAGTCAAAAAACTATGAAAGTGTTAAAATATGTTTTCATACCAGAAATACTTTGGTAAAAAAAGAAAAATTATTACCAGCAATACATTTTTGGAAAAAAAAAAGATATTATCAGCTATACATTTTTAAATTAAAGGAAAAAATATTACCAGCAATACATATTTGAAGGAAAAAATATTACCAGCAATACATTTTTGAAGAACAATTATTACCAACAATTCATTTTTGAAGGGAAAAAAAAAATTTACCAGTAATACATTTATGAAAAAAAAATATTACCAACAATAAAAATTGTTGGCATTAAATAACCCATTGTGATTGATATGTCGTAAAACAAGCCAAACCAAACCAAACCCTCTACCTTGAGTGGCTCTTAGGTCTTGTATTAGATGAACTTTAGTATATAAATTGTTCAATAAAGATTAAATTTGTTGTCAATATGAGATCAGAAATATTTTTCAAAATATTTTCTTTTTGACATACAAAGCTTCTTTCATAATGAGTCAGCAGTTTTAATACTACAATAATCTCACAAGTGTCACATTTCTATATTCAGAAAAGAAGACTAAAATTTCTACGTACCAAGAAGCTGCACTGCATATATGAGTCAAAAAAAAAATGTCCCCCAAAACAGTTTTAAGAATTCCGCAAATGAAGACAGTGTACGGCAGTTAAGCGCCATACGTGATACACACTTAGGCAATCATGTATCTTTTGATACATGACTGATGGGGTAGATTTTTTCCTGCAGTAGGTTACCATTTCTTTCTGCGTTAGACTAGTTGCCAACCAAGATTAAAGAACCCAGTCTATCCTGCTATTCAACCCATAGCTGGGGGGAAAAGAGCTGGATTAATACCTTTTGAAAAGGTGTTTGTGCATAAGTGAATCTAACAGAATTCGAACTCAACTCTCCGAGTCCTCAATCTGAGCCAATATCCATTACACCACAATGCCCCTCCCCTCCCACATATACTTCCTAGAAATACCTCTATAGGAAGGCACCATTGCCACTAATGTTTTACCATTATGTGGGAGATATTTCTGGGAGGTAAATGTGGGAGATATTTTAGCTACACCTTGTATTTGCTATTTCCTTTTTTTCTCTTATGTCACAAGATTTATCCTGTGACATAAAAACATATGTGTTTATGGCAGACTTAGAAAACAAAAAAACTCTTAGACATGATAGTAATGGAAAGTGATGGAAGAGGACTATTAAATATAAAACTACAGAATGTATGGTCATCAGTAAAATGTAAGCTACCAATTAGAGATATCAGTTTTAAGCAGGTACAGAAGTTTAACTATCTGGATAGTGATGTAACAAAATGTGATGTAGAAATCCAGAGGTACATTGGAAGAGCAATGGATACTTTCCATAGATTCAAAAGTATTAAGAGATAGGAAAATATTTTAAGATGTCTGGGTTTTTTTTTCAACCAAATAATTCTTATTACTCAAGTCAGTATTTCTGTTTTTTATCCACCAATCAGAATTATTATTTAATATTTTTTTTCAACCTATCAAAATCAGTATATCTGATTTTCTCAACCTATCAAAAATTTCTTATTGCTGATGTCAGTACATTTGATTTTGCAACCAATCAAAATTTTTTATAGGTAAATTCAGTATTTCCATATTTTTATCAATCAATCAAAATTCTTAATTGGTATATTCAGTATTTTTTCCAACCAATTAAAAATTTCCTATTGCAAAATCTCAGTACATTTGTTTTTTCTCAACCAATCAAACAGTTATTATTGATAAAGTCAGTATTTCTGTTTTAACTTAACCAATCAAAATGTTTAATTGGTATAGTCAGTATTTTATTCAATCCAGACTTATTGCTCGAGTTGGTATTTGTCGAGGAAAAATGTAAAAATAATAATTTTTCATGCAGATCATAAAAGAAAAATTGTTAATAAAAATTGCTTTCAAGTTATTTCCTTCATAATGTTTTTATATTTATTGAAAAGATTCTTTTGACAACACATCTTTTAAGACTAACAAAAAAAATTTACAAATTTCTTTACATTTCAAATCTCCAACAACTTCATTAACCTTTTAAGCAGCTTGATATAAGATAACAACCTGAATGTCGAGGCTTTATAACATAAATAACTCATCAATGATATGCCGTAAATGTTTATGGCAAATGTTTATTGGTTTTGAAGGAGTCATTTCAGGGCGTAGCAGTAGAAAGAGAGAAAATCTTTTACTTCCCTTAAAAGAATGGTAAATGGAAATATTTAACTTGGGGTGGCAGTTACTTCTGCATTAATAAATCTAAGAATTGTGATTCCATTAAGATAGAAGAAGCCTGGAACTTTCTGCTACGCATTATATTCTTTAATAAACATCTTAAATTCAATGTTTGGCTTTCCAAAATTTCTAAGAGATTTTACATTAGACTTTTTCAAATGAAAATATCATCATGACTCATGCTGGAAATAGAAAGAAAAAAATTCACTAAAAAAGCTTTTTTCTCCCATGTTAATAATACAGGTTGCATTTGTAAGAAATATTTGTAAATTAAAGCAAAAAATACATGCAAAGAAACAAAAATATTTTCGCATTATGGAATTTTCTCCAGTTATATAACTGAAGAAAATTCCAGAATGTTAGAAATAAACAGTTATTTTACCTTAAAAATTATTGGAAATTATTTTACCATAGAAAATTATTGGAAATTATTTTCCTATAAAAACTTAATGGAAATGATGTTATGTTATGAAACTATTACAAATTATTTTACTATAGAATTTTTAGAGATTAGTTTATGATATAAAAGTGTTATTTATTATTTTACTATGAGACTTAATTGGCAATTACTTTGCTTGAGAAATTCATTGGAAATTATTTTACTAGAGACATTTGAAAATTATTTTACTATAGGGAGGCATTACAAATTGCCTATAAAATTTATTAAAAATGATTTCATTATAGATATCATAAATTATTTTACTATAGTATCTACTGGAAACTATTTTACTGTAGGAATTAATTAAAAATTATTTTTACTATACAAATTCATTGGAAATTATTTTATTATGGAAATTCATGGAAAATTATTTTACCATAGAATTTTTTTGTTACAATATGTTACTGGAGGAAGCCATTAGAAATTTTTCTACTATGGATTTTATTTCAAATTATTTTATTATAGAAAGTATTATTCATTATTTTACTATAGTATCTAATAGAAATTAGTTACTGAGAGTAAAGAACTAAGCACAAATTTTAAGAAGATAATATATGATTGTTAGTACAAGGGACAAACCAAGATGTGAGCTAGTAATTTTTTATGGTATTTTTCAATTCATAATTGTTTTTCTCCTGGACTGATTGCCAGCCATTTTTTGCGAAAGTGAATGCAACAGCTTCAGCTGATACTTGAACTTGGCAAGCCAGTCCCACTTTTCACACTGATAACTGCTATTTGTCCATCTAGCTTATGAAATGGCTTCCAAAAATAAGAAGAACTTGATAAGACTAGGAAATTCAGTTCACTGTATCATGCCAGAAATCTTTCTTGTCAGAATCCATCTTGCAAATTTACAAATCTACTATTTATCTGTGTGGTGTGTAACGCAACAATTCAACTGATGATAGCAGGTAGGCACAAAAGAAAACCAGTGTCGCACGTCCAACCTTCTCACGGGCGAAAAGCCCTCTGATCTGAAACAGCAAAACAGGCCTGCTTTATACAGCTGCGGACCGACCACGATTTGCATGCGAATGAAGAGACAACGAGATTTCGCGTTAACTAACCGAGACCGCCCGGCATAAAACGTGGGCGCCGCCATTTTGGGTTTTCTTTTACCGTTGGAAGGACCAGAGTTTGCATACTGCGCAGATTCGAACGCGTTTCCGAGGTAAGCCATTTTCACAATTTTCCCCACAATCTGTGAACTGCTGCCATATCTAGTTTGGTGCTCCTGCTGTATAATCACAAGATTCTTGACAAAATTCAAAGAAGGGCTGTAATGTAATCAGTCCTGATCCCGCATCTCGACTTCAGTCACTTTCTCACCTAGGTGACATGACTTCCCTCTGCCTTTTCTACAAATATTTTCATAGCAACAGTTCTGATGTGTTTTCCTCCTTGGTGGCTTCACTCAATGAATGAATATAAGTGTGATACTAGATTGGCAAGTAGGTCTCACCATTTTAATGTTGAACTAGCTAGATGTAACCGTATGTTCTATTCTAATAGTTTCATTTAGGAAATCAGTCAGATTACTAAAAATCTATTTAAAAATCCATATATATATATATATATATATATATATATATATATATATATATATATATTTATACACACACACACATATATATAGATAGATAGATAGATAGATAGATAGATAGATAGATAGATAGATAGCTATAGAGAGAGGTTGAGTGAAATAGATATGAAGACTGAGTTAAGCAAGTTTATAGACACAGATAGAAAAGAAAGGGAAATGCATTATGTAAGAAAAATGCAGAAAGAGAAAATAAGTGACTGCAATAGTTATATATATATATATATATATATATATATATATATATATATATATATATATAGAGAGAGAGAGAGGGGGAGAGAAAATAAAAAAGATAGTAAGATACTGAGATAGTTATATATATATATGTGTGTGTGTGTGTGTATACAGAGAGAGAGAGAGTGAGAGAGATAAGCAGATGGTAAGTTACTGAGATAGTCATATATATATATATATATATATATATGAGAGAGAGATATAGAGAGAGAGAGATAAAGAGTCAACATTGATCTTCAAAAATTAAAATTCAGTGTCTTCTGTCTTCCTAATTCCTGTTCTTTTATTGTTCTCTCCTGTTTAGAATGCTTTCTTTTTCTCATGTTCCATAATATTCAGTAAACCCCTTATGTCTTAGTGGCTTTATTGCCTTGCTTGAAGGGGAAATAACTGAAAAGCTACTGAGAGGATTTATATTTACACTTAGGATAGCTTTTTCCCTTAATTTACAAAACTGTACTTAGAACAAGAATGAGAGTATTATCGTTCATAAATTTACAATCCTATTCTTCCTGCTAATCATAGAAAGCAGGAAAATTGTTTACACCAGACATGATTAATCATAAAAGCTTGATGAGTAGCAGCCTACATTAACAGGGTAGGCTATCCTCAAGGACCCAGAAACCAACTTGATTCAATTGCCTAGTACAGTGTCATGTTACATGGTGGCATGGTAAGTGTGCTAATGTGATGATTGAATCACTGATATGTAGATATTTTTGGTGACATCGGGATTCAAGCCAAACAAAGTTTGATGCAAAGCAGGTGATACAAAGTGATCAGAGAAAGTGATGGAGTCAATCATGTATGACTCCATCACTTTCTCTGATCATTTTTTTCCTGTTTCTTCTTCCTTCCATCACACCGTTCCTCTATCACCCACATCATGACCCAGGATCCTGGCAACACACAATTCGAAAACCGTTCTTGCCTGTCACACTATGCTTGACATCCGGCTGTATAGAAAGGATCACATGTGTTATATTAAACAATGAGGTGGCACAAAGAACTATTAGTTCTTATCACCTTCCACTTTTAGTTGGCTGCTTTAATGAAAAAATGGATGAGGCATCATGGGATAGCCCATAATGGATTAAAACAAAACAAGAAGGAAGATTGATATTCATGATTATCACAATTTATGTTTTAACGAGTTTAACTCTGCTGTCAACATATGACAGCAAGGATTGTGTTTTTGATATTTTATGAGTACAATGTAATTACAAAATGACTGTCTGGGAGATAAAAATAAACTGGGAGTTAAAAATAATTTATGACTTAAAACAAAAATAAATTATGGAATTTTATTTGTCAAGTTTAAAATACTGGAACATTCTGTTTCTACTCTCATAAGACAAGTCCACAACAAAAAAATGGGTAAACTACCTATTTTCACTTGCTTTCTTTATTTTCATACTTATATCGTTATATTTATTTCATCCATAACTTTTTTTTCTTTATACAACGTTTGTGGTAAGGATAATAGTAACATTAGCTGTTTCCTTATAAGGAAACATTTGATATTCATTGACATAGCAACCAGTGATACTTGACTTACACTTTTCTTCACTTTATGGCAGTTGGTTTGGGATCAAAGAGTAGTATCTGTTCTCCTTATCTCTAATAGTAATATTAGCTGTTTCCTTATGAGGAAACGTTCAACACACATTGACTGAGCAGCCAGTGATACTTGACTTACACTTTTCTTCACTTTCTGGCAATTTGGGCTGGGAACAAAGCGTAGTATCTTTATTGGTAATATTAATATTAACTGTTTCCTTATATATATATATATATATATATATATATATATATATATATACTGTTTTAGACAGAATTATTCACCTGCTTCCACAATTACCTATAAAGCTGTAATACCTCAAATTGTTATGGAAACTTTATGTGCATTTTTTCACAAATAGATTTGAAAGAATGTGCACTGATGCCCACAAAAAAGCACCAAAAATATTTAACATAGGACAAAATTATCAGTCCTCTTGCCTCAATAATCAATTGTGTAACTTTTATTCTTGATTATTACCTTTAATCATATTTGATAGTTTCTTACAAGATCGCTACACACACTGATAGGTATTTTTCTCTATTCTTCCTTGGCAATAGTATTTTCAATTCCTTCGAATTTGAAGGACTTCTTTCTCTTACTTTTTTCTTCAAATATTCCTGTAAATTTTCAGTGGTTAGGAATTTTGATCCACCAAAGCATTCAATTGATCATGTCTGATAACCAATTGTGGTCTTCCCCTTTTCATAGAATATAATCACCTGAACAAAACTTCTGAAACCCTCTTTTTATATCCTGATTTCAACAATACCATTACCTAAGGCCACCTTGATATTCCAGAATGCTTCAGAGGCAAAATGAACCAGTTTTACTCAAACAGTATGATTACTCGACATTGTAGCATTTTAATCATTTTTATTGTGCTTAAGAGTAATGATATATTGAAAAAAAATATCTGGGAAGAAAAAAATTTTGGAATAAGTGACAATAATTTGATATATACTAAGGAGGTTACTTTGTTAGACGACCGGATCAACAACCAACCAAAGAATGTGTCATTTCATGCCTGGCAATCTAATAGAAGATGGACACATCTCATCTAAGGATTTTCTAACAATTTGTGTCATGTGTTTTGGGTCATTGTCATGATAGAATGTCCAGTGTTGCCCCTAAGTCAGCTTTTGTGCACTTTGTTTTATATTATTTTTATAGCCAAATTCTTCTCCTTATCCATGATACCCTGTACTCTCACTAGTCCTCCTGATTCAGAAGAAGTAAAACATGCCCAGAACAGAATACTCCCATGACTATGCTTAATTGAAGGGAGTGTATTTTGGGGTTTGTGAGTTTCATTCACTTTCCCCCATACATAAAAGAAGTTCATGTGACCAAATATTTCTAGTTTGGTTTCATCTGACCATAAAACAGAGTTCCAATATTTACTACCTTGTTCAAGACGGCTTCTAGCATAAGCTAATCTGCACTTTAGGTGTTTAGCATTAAGCAAGGGAGTTTTCCTTAGGTGACAAGCTCGAAGTTCCATTTGATGAAAGCATCTAGTGACTGTCTTCACCTATACATTCAACCCTGATGTCTTTACATCATTGACAATGTTCTTTGTCATTCAGTGAGGATTCTCCAAGACATCTCTATTAACTTTCTTTTCCTTTCACTTAGAAATTAACCATTTCTGCCAGTCCTTTATTTATTCTCAACACAATGAGTTTTGTACTTCTTGATAATGCTACAAGTTGTTGATCTAGGAACATTTAAATGCCTGGAAAATGTTGTATATCCATCACCTTGTTTGTATGCATTAACTATCTTCATTCAGAGCTTCTTATCTAGTTTGGCCATCTCCATAATGGTTGCAGAATGAATGAGTTATTGCAGTGCGTAGAACTCACATATTGTCTTATTTAACTTTTAGCATGTTATAGAATCAGGTCAATAATATTTCATTTTCAAAGTATGTTTGTATTATATGTCAAATTAAGAAAAAAAAATATTACAATTATCATACAGCTATATTATTTCATAATTTCCATAAGGGAGATGAATAATTTTTGACTGCAACAATTTTTAGAAAAAAATATAACTATGAATACAATAGATCAAAAGTTCTAATAAGTTAATTATTACTAATTAATTATATAAGTATATAATTATTGAATAATTCCTGAAATAATAATAAGTTAAATAATTTCATGAATTATTCAAAACTAAATATGAAATCAACTATTTATGGTAAATTTTAGTATATATTTGCAGATATTCACATTTCCTTAGAAAATATGCAAATATTTAATGGGTTTGAATAATTCTGTCTACAACTGTATGTCTGTGCATGTGTATATATATATATATATATATATATATATATATATATATATATATATATATATAGAAATAATTAGGAGGATTTGAAATAAGCATAATTAAGTTTAATCATTGGGTCTAGAAGAAAATTAATCATTGAGTCTAGAAGAAACCTCAACAGAATGCAGAAAGCACTGGACGGCCGTTTCGTCCTATATTTGGGACTCATCAGCAGTGTGCATCCACTACAGAGAATTGAAACCCAATCAGTTACAATAGGAGGCAAACGCCATGCTAACTGTATCAACGGGCCTCATAATATATATATATATATATATATATATATATATATATATATATATATATATATATATATATATATTATTTTTGAAAAAAAAAATTTATAACATAAATATGTTATAAAATCACTACAAAAATAGCCATTTTGTTTCAACACCCTCAGTGTCTTATCAAGTGATGATGTTGAAGATAAAATAAATGGTTTTAAATGTTTCAAATTAATTAACGCTCCTTCACTAGTGGGAAACATTGTGACAAAAGCTAGAATAACCAATCAAATATATATGTATATATATATATATATATGCATATTTAGTTTATGAAAAACTAGGTAATCCGTATGGGTAAATCTAAGGAGGATAAAATCCAGAGAGCTTAATGTCTTTTCATTTTTTGTTTGGAAGTAAAGTCTGATGATCCACAGTCCTTTAAAAGGGCTGTGGTGAAATAATTTATTAAATGGAACCTTAAAGTGGTCTGTTTTTATTTAAAATATATATATGCATATATATATATATATATATATATATATATATATATATAGAGAGAGAGAGAGAGAGAGAGAGAGATAGATAGATAGATAGATAGTGTGATGAATTATTAACAAACTGACAATTTTCCATTTTGTCCCAAAACTACATGTTGGAATTTAACAAAATTTTCACAGAATGATGGCAACAGTTATATGCGCGTTATTTGTAAAAAGTGTAAAGTTCTGCAAAAAGACACAGAAACTATGGTCATGTACCTAATTTACTTAAATCCTAACTGTTCCAAATTATTAGCGAGATGTAATTAAAACTCATGTAAACAAGAAAATCACACTTTAATTGCTTCATATACAGATTCTTATGGATACGTCCAGTAAACAACATCAAATAAATAGAAATGAACAAATCTACAGAGTTCAAAACTAATAGGGGAGGTGGTTAATAGGAAATACATGATCTTCTTCTTGAAATTCTATAGATATGGTTCTGGTCCATGGAACACGTCAATTTTTGGATCTCCTCTGATGTAATTCTATGTGATACATTTACTAATGCCTGCCACAAGTCAGCCTTGATTCTAAATTGGTGTTGATTCTTGTAAACTAGTTGCATCAGAATGACCAACAAGTTTTTGACTGGGTTTAAGCTCAGTGAATTGGCTGGCCAGTTCGTTTTCCAAGGTACACAGAAAACTAATTTTTGCAGGTACTCCATAGTTTTATGCCCTGCATGCAAGAGAGCATTATTTTAAATAAATATGATGGTTCTACTTAACATGATCCTTTGATTTATAAACCAAGATTCAAGGTGCTCGCCCAGGGAGGTTATATAAACACCTACAGTCATTTTAATACCATCTAGCACTTTCCATGGACCAATTACAATACCTCCAATTATACCACCTCAAATTGTGATACCCACTTTGTGATGTTGTTTCAAGCACTGATGACGATGCTGTCTGTTTACGACCCACCCGTTGCTCCATCTGTCAGGGCTATCAGTGGTATCTCAATTTTCAGTCATGAACGAAACCTTTGAGAAGTCAACCTTCATGTTATCTTCTGCCCATTTCAAATGTTTTTGTATGTGTCTTTTTGCCAATGGAGGCATTGTCACTGGTCTCAAAGATTTCCAGACCATTTTTCAGAACATAATATCAAGTAGTTCTGGACACAGTTGTTTCACCAATGCACCTGAAACGTTCTTTGCTAGTCAGGCCTGGGTTATTTACAACTTCACGTTTAATTCATGACAGAGAACATTGGGAAACAACCCTCAAGTGACCCTTTCGACCCTCTTATGTACCTTCATAGGATCTGCAGCAAACCTTTTCACTGTTTGGTGATATCATCCAATCATTTGGGATATTTCTAATGCTGATTTACCTTTTGCAAATTCAGATGTTATAACAGATTTCTTAGAAGTGGTTAAGTCACAATTGCAACCCATAATTGCACGATTATGTAGTCAGTCGTTAATAATTTAGAACACTGAA